CAGGGTGAGTCCTGACAGGTGGAGGTATCAATTTACAGCCTTCAGACGGAGCAAAGAGGCAATAAGCAAGTCATCACAAGCTTGACAGGGCAAAGGCCAACTTTTTTCTTTCGATTTCACAAACAAAAACAATAGAAAAGCAATCTCTGGCTACCTGACTATCAGTGTGAAAACTAATTTTATAAGATGCGGTGAGATTCAACCACTTGTGTCGACAAAAGCCAAGTCAAAGGAGGTCAATGCAACGTCGTGAAGACCAGTCAAACAATAATAAAATAAACCAAGAGACAAAATCCTCACTTTTTTACACTGATGGTTAGTGTCCTTTAATTAAAAAATGTAAGCAAAACTTGTGGAAGGCTGCAAACTACCAGGTGCATGTGTTTATTTACAGAAACATTCAAAATGTCTGAAAATTGCTCAGCAATAGCAGTCCACGCAGATGTTTGAGATGAAGAAGTCGGACAATTTTGGACATGAAGGTGAACACGCTTGACAAATCTGAGTACAGTATGCAGATAGAATAGAATAGAATAGAATAGAATAGAATAGAATAGAATAGAATAGAATAGAATAGAATAGACTTTATTGTCCCACAGCGGGGAAATTCAGGTGTCACAGCAGCATCGGTACAAAGGTTCACACACTAGTTACTTTACGAACTATAGATAGTACACACAAAACAAAACTAACACTTACTAGCCATGATACAGCTACTAATAATAAAAATCAAAATATAATATGAAGAATTGTGCAAGAACAGAAAAACGATGTTTTGTTTCAGAATCCAACACTCAGAATAAGACGTTTCCTGTTTGGAGTGCAAAAACAATCCCAACATACCAATAACTGTAAACTGAAGTATCACAATACAGACAAGAAACAATGTTTGTTTACACTGAGAGTGACCCGCATTTCGGATTACGTATCAATGATGATAAACTCAAACTTTGAAAGTTTGAGTTCATTATCTGTGATGAGTACCTTAAGCTGCATAACATACTAAGTAATTCTAGTTTCTGATCCAAGGTCAGTCTTTTAGGTTTTGCAGTCCGGTCCACCTCTGTAAGCAGGCCCTGCTCACCCCCGCGGCCATAAAACATCCACAGACGTCCCCACACTTCAGTGTAACTGGAAACCCTGGTGTATAAAAGACTTTCTCACACAACAGGACTGGTGGGCTCAGGAGCCGGCTGAAGGTGGAGCTGATGAAGCCACCACCCTAGTTCTCAACAGCAACCTCTGACCCGACTTCCTGTTCAGGTTTTACACCAATTTCTCAAACTATGGAAAGTTACAAGTTTTCTTCAAGACCATTTATCTGCTCTTATACAGACAGGAAAAAAAAGTCAATGTGACGAAGAAAACATATTTGCAGATATTTGCAACCAAAAAGAACACTGACTAAAGGAAACTCAGTTAGGGTTTCTGTGATGGTCTCTTTGATTAAACTCTTACTTTTAAATCACAAGAATCATTGAAACCATTGAAACATGCTCACTCTTACAGCTGGAAACAACATATATTTAGACTGTGAAACCACAATAGGTTTTCAGGTTGAAACTTGAAAATAACTGTGCTGACAGACACTCAGGTAATTATAGATCAACCAGAGCATTAATGCTGCAGCAATACGTACCTGGACCTCACTGAGTACCTCTATGTGTTGGCATACAGTAATATTGTGATGAATTGCTCATCTGGATTGGCTTTTACACCTTTTATTTGTACAAATCCATTCTATTCATAACATTTTGCACTGTGTTGTTTAAAATCCACTCTTTGCCCATGTTAACGGTGCTTCTCTCCTAATGTCAATGGGATGAATCACTTCTTAACTCTAAAACAACTGAACTGGAAAACCCCAGCTTATCACGGTCCAGAAACTCTATAAAGACGTGATGGGGTAGGAGGGGAGGAAAAGATACAAGATAACAAAGAGAAAAAAAGAAGCAGTATCAGAAGGCAAAGATAGCAAAAAAGCTGTTGTGTTTCAATGAAACGAATGGTCCAAAACAAAAAACTAGACTGAATCAGGTTAACGTTCTCTGGAAAAGAACAAATATAAACTGAAAGCCATTAAATATGCTGCTGTTTGTTATTTAAAAACAATGTGGAGTAAAAAAAAAAAAGTATTGTACTCAGCAATAATAGTCATTCAGGGTAAGAATCATGACATACATGGAAAGAGAGCTCCCAAAGGGGCTTATGCTGTCTGTTTGACCGATGATAGCTGCTCTCTTCACTGATCCCATATGGCCTCAGCACTTTGTGTGTGACTTTGTGTGTGCTCAGCTTTAAAACATGAACAATCCTTTCACCCACAATGTTCACTACATTAGCCTATATAGAAAATTCCACCCAAAAGGGTCATTTCACCTTCTTTAAAAGCACCAAAGTTAGGTTCACATGCAAGACCTGGGCTTTTAAAAAAACCCCATTTGATAAAATCCACATGCAAACATTTTGTTTCCTGTTTGTTTCTTTTGCAGAAAAGAAGTTTCCACCATGCCCATTAAACTGCTTTATCTTTATTTGTAAACTCATTATTTACATCTAGTCATAAAAAAAAAAAAATCAAGACAAGTTTTGTTTTTGCTCTGATTTTTTTTTATAAGTCACTTTAAAAAAAAAAAGGTTGGCTCTCCTGGATGTTCACTCACTTACCTGAGCAGAGATGGAGAAGTCCTAACAGAAATACAAATCCAAGGGAAGTTGGAGGCATTATTCAACGGCTCACTTAGAAGAAATATTCTTGTGTAATCCAAATGTTTCAGTTTTGGAACAGTTCAAGCATCCACTCCTTCATGACAAACAGCAATAAAAAAAATTACAATAATTAAAAAAATTGAATCCAGAGTTTAGAAAAGCCTCTTAGTTTGGAGTCTGACTAAGGCGAAATTTGGGGCTGCTTTGGTTTTGTGAGAAAAAAAAATGTAGGCGATATAAAAACAAAAGATGAACTCTTCCAGATCCTCGGAGCGCAGGTCCTGCTCCTGGCAGCATGGGTTACAACCGGACAGGAGTTTGTGAGCAGAAGTAACAGAACTCTATCCTTTTCTTTGAATTCATCCCGTCGTTGTGCTCTCTAGTCAACCTGAAGAACTCAGTCAGGTCATTAATTCTTCTGTGCAAAAACGGGCAGGGGAAAGTAAAAAAAAAGGGGTATAAAGATCCGTTCCAAAGCGAGCAAAAACATGAAAATAACCCGAGTCTGGTCCCAAACAGTCACATCATTTCAGCTCCAGATTTTTTTTATTTTTATTTTTTTGGGATCTGCCACTTGAGATCGGAAACTTCGTCCTCCCCGCTTGTCCAGAAAACACTGCAGTCCGGGACAGGAGATCAGAGCAACTTTTCCATCACTTTTCCCCCCGTTTCACCTCCACCGCAACTCCAAGGGAGCGAGCCGAGCGCGCGGCGCAGACACCCAACCTCAGGCGAGAGGAGGAGGAGGAGGAGGAGGAGGAGGAGGAGGAAAGATGTTGAAAAGTATCATTTAGGTTGACAGCGCTATGTGCTAATG